TTATTTATAATAGTGAAAAAAATGACAATTTAAGCAAAATTTTGCTATTTTTAAAGAAAAATCAAATAAATTATTAACATTTAATTTTTTTTTATTGCAGAGGACATATTATTGGGAAGAGGATGATGCTCGTGTGTATAAAGTCTGGAGATTACATTGTCGAAACCATTTTCGAGACGAGCTTCATCGAGCTCGAAAGGCATGGGTCAGGGACAAGAAGTTGCCTGAGTTCATGCATAAGGATACCTTTAAAATTTTGTTGGCAAAATGGAGGAGTCCAAAATATATTGCACTCCAGGAAAGAGGTCGGCAAAACCAATCAAAGGGTGATCGTGTGACCCACACAATTAGATGCCTTTCTATTGGGATCCATGAGGATCGACTGGTTAGTAAGATATACTTATATAAAGTCTAGACATATAAATTTTTTTTTACCATAAAATGGAAATGTTATTGATTTTATTGATATTTTAATAGGCAGCTAAAAGAGGAGGAGTTAGGCCTACACCTTTAGAGTCGTACTTGTTGACTCATACGACTCGCCGACCTGATGCTCCAGAAGATGCCCCACCCACTTGGATATGTCCACAGGTTGAGCAGACATATGTAAGAATGTGATTCTTTTATGATATTAATTTTATTTATTTTTCATGTCATATTGCCATAAAAGAAAAAAAGTGATACAATTTTTTTTCCATTGTATTCAGCTCATAATTATTTTTCATTTGATTTCCCATTATCATTTGAAATTACTAACTAACGAAAATTTTATTTTTGAAACAAAACGATGCTCACCAAAAATATGTGGAGAAGCATGGGCCAAACAAGGATTCATGGCCAGAATGGGATCCACTTATCTGGAAGGAGGTGGTTGGACCTCCTAAAAAGGGTCAGATGAGAGGGATGTCTACATTACAGGATCCAGCAGAACATGGCATCCCTTGGTGACGGTATGACATGAGTGACGCCTCCTCTCCTACCACCAAGATTCTTACGACACAGGTTCAGCAATTACAGTCTGAGCTTACTCAAGTTCAAGAAGAAATGACTGAGAGAGTTCAGACAGAGGTGGCCGCACGTATTCATATAGAGATATCACAGAGAGTATGAGAGATGGAGGCCAGCTTTGAGAGGAGATTTCAAGAGCACATGCGCTTACTTAGCCAGCAGTATTCTATGAATGCTACACAACCCTAGACTGGTTATCCTTCTTTTGCACCACCCCAGACTGCTGATCCTTCTTTTGAAGGATTTAGACCTGATCACTTCCCACCTCATAGTTAGAGACATTGATATTTGAAACTTATATTATATATGTTTATATATATGTACTGCATATGTGGATATATGGTATGCAGGATGAAAAGTTAATATATATTTTATTAACTTAAATTAGTTTTTAGTTATGTAGTATTTGAATTTAAATAAGTAAAATATATAATATTAATAAAACTTAACAATCCTATAGTAAAAAGAAAATAATTACAATATAATATTTTACAAAAAAATAGCATATATATATCTTTATCTAAATTAAAATTTTGATAATTAATTATTAGCTCAAAAAAAATTAACTCTTATTACATTTTAAAAAAAAATTCTGCAAGAAAATTAATAAAAAAATCAAAAGAAAAACCAAAAAAAATTGAATTTCCTCAAAAAAAAAATTTCAACTTCCCGGCCAAAGAAAAAAAAAAACTCAGTATATTCGACAGCCCTATTGGCTGTTGAATATAACCCACCCCGGCGTCCCCCCCCGCCCAAAAATTGCATTTCCACAGCTAGAAAAAATGTCAACTTCTCGGCAAAAAAAAAAAAAAAAACTCAGTATATTCGACAGCCATATTGGCTGTTGAATATAGTGGTTATATTCGACAGCTATTATGGCTGTCGAATATACTGAGTTTTTTTTTTTTTTCTTTGGCTGAGAAGTTTACATTTTTTTTTTTGGGAAATTCAATTTTTTTTGGTTTTTCTTTTGAATTTTTTTTTTCTTGCAGGATTTTTGTTTTTAAAAGTAATAAGAATTAATTTTTTTTGAGCTAATAATTAATTATAAAAATTTTAATTTAGATAAAGATATATATAT